GGTTGCAGTCGTCATTGTTGTTTGGCGGGTCCAGGCTGGGGATTCGAACCCGCCACCTTAGGTGTACGTGGCTGGCGCCTTAGCCGGTTGAGCCACAGGTGCCGAGCCAATTCTTACATCTTTTAATAAAGCTTTTGTTCTGTAAAGCCTTATGCTCTGTCTCTGTGAGGGCATAAGCTGGCGTGTTCCTGACGTGGGCTGTCTTGGGCGCTCTAGTAGACTAAGCTGAAAGGCAGCTAATGATGGTCAGTGGTAAGGATATATTTAAATGCTGACATTACTTCAGCCTTTAGAGAAATTCAGAAGAAAGCCAGGAAATCCCTTGTTTCATTCTGAATGCTTTCCCCTTTCACTTTGGCCCAGCTTGAAGATTTTCTCAGTATAAGCTGGGCCAGAAGTCAAAGGGTGGGAGGAAGCAACATTGGACTTAGAATGCAGACAGGGATAACATTGAAATAAACTTTCTACTCAATAGGCTTTCACCGGCTAATGATGAAAACCCAAAATGAAAATACACACGCACCAGTCATCCTGGATATCATGACTGGCCTTACATCACTTAGTGTTCTACTTCTCCCAGGTTCTTCTACCTCAAGTGATGCCCCCTTATCCATTTACCCAGGTATCTGAGCCCAAAGCAAAAGCAAACCTAGAATTCAGTCCCCATTGCCCTCCAAACCTGTTCCCTGTATCATTAAAATATACCTCCCGTCTGTCCACTTCTCTCTGTCTTCCTCCGTCATCTGAGTAGAAGTACCATGATCTCCAATAGCCTCCTGGCATGATTCTCTACAACCTATTTTTCTTAAATAGTTGCCAGAATATTTTTAACATGTCACTCCCTTGTTTAGTCCCCTTCCATACACAGGCACAGCTATGCTCAGAACTTACTCAGAAGGGGCTCAAGGACACAAGGGAGCCATTGTGGATGGGATGTGGTATCCAGAAGGAGGAGCAGAGTGGGCATCAGGATGGCTGCACCAAGGCAATCTCAAGTCCAAGGCAATCTCAAGTTTTCATTTTCTGTTCTTACTGGGTGCCAGCAGGAGGGGCCCACGGCTTGGGGAAATGAGGGCCTGATGCCAGTTGCCAGAGCCAGCTATTCATCTAGCTTTATGCTAGAAGACCTTCCCAGCTTATGGTTGGCCAGGCTAGACCAGCTCACCAGGACAGAACAGGGACGTAAGAAAGGAAGGGCACATGCTCTAATTGTGCATACGGGGACTAAGAGGACCAAAGAACTCTGTGGGCTGGAGAAAGATTCAGATTTGTGAATTCTTAGTTCCATCTGCTTTTCCTTGGAGATAAGATGCTAATAATAGATGAAACTCATTATTATGTTTCTATAGCCTCAGAGAAACACATAATTATTGGGCATCTACTGTGTGCCAGGCACATGTAGGGATATAGAGATGAAGAAGGCACATTGTTTTTGCCCTCAAAACATTCCAGTAAGAGAAAGAATGAAATATACAGATAATTTTATAATATAATACACTGCATAGAAAGGATACTTCCTTGTTGCCATGGGAATACAAGGGAAAAAAAAAAAGTAACTCAAGCCGGGTCTTGAGGAAAGACTCAAGAGCTGAATTTTAAAGGGTGATAAGATTTCAGGAGGAAAAGGTGTGAGGGTTCTATGGGTATGAGACATATATTTTGCTTAGCTAGCTGGTTTGCAGGTCTCTAGTGCAGGGAGGATAAGTAAATGTTATGTCTCATGTTTGGCGCCATGTGCAGACTCCACAGGACAGTGTGCACAGGTCAATCGGAGCTGTCCACTTCAGTGCTGAAGTAAAGAGGGTCGGACTGTGAACTGCACATTCTCAGCCTTGCATTTTAGGGATAAGGATTCATCCAACTGTTCATTCACTCATTCATTCACAGTCACCATCATGTTTGTTTTGGGAGTTTAGGCATACTCCAGGGCCACCTTTTCATTCCTTCCCATCATTTAATTATCTAGCCCCTGAAGTCTGTGAACCTCTGAAAAAAAGATTAAAGACCTGAGCTTTGGGTTCATGCAGACCCAGATTCCAGCCTCATCTCTGCTGTGGACCAGTTGTTTGACCTTGGAAAAGTCATTTAATATCTCTGAGCCTGAGTTTGTTCACTTGTAAATAACTCGAATACCATTTAGCTCCATAACTGTGAGGATTAGCAGAGGGAATTGTGGCAACATGCTTGGCACAGCGCCTGGTCACGTTTCTCTCGCCACCTGTTAGGACTCAGCACATAACCTTGATCATGGTGTTAGCACTTTAAAAAAGTCACTCGTTCACATTGCTTAGTCTGAATGAGAGGCATTCCATGTTTAGCTCCTTGTCATGAGTTCATCCCAAACTCCTGCTCTGCCTGGTACTTTCAATATCTTTTTGTGATGCGGAAGACTTTGTTTTTTAAAGCCTGGTAATTTATCATTTGAAACACATTTTCAAGAGAAAACATAAATACCTCTTGAATCATTTTCAAAGCAGTGATTGACCAAAAATAGAAAGATGACTAGACCAAACTCAGAAGAAAAAGTGGAAGAAGATTATGAACAATCTTTGTATCTTAAACTGTGTTTCACATGGAAAAAAATAGCCTGAGAAGAGACTGCAGAATATGCATAGTAAGGCAGCCAGGCTGAGGAACATCCAAAAAGAATTGTGGTTTGAATTTGGAAGGTATTTTTTTTTTTTTTGTAGCTATTATGATTCTTTAAAGAACTTCCAAAGAGAGCCAAATGGCTCAAATTTGTACTGTATTATAATACTTTGTTTGATAACTGCATGCCAGGGACTTAAAACCAAGGACGTTTTGAACCGACTCATTTTTATTGATAAAAATCACTGAATTAATGTTACCATCTCCCTATGCTAATAGAAAAGAACACTGTTAAGTGAAAACACATGCAGAATAATGTAATTCTCAGGGCTATAACAATCTTTAGAGATCATCTTACCTATTGTACTATAAAAAGTAATATTTAACGTGAGGGTTGCTCATCATAGGAATATGTATGCTAATTATAGTGAATTTGGAAACCAATATAAATTCCCAAATAAGAAAATTTAAATTGTCCACAAATCTGATACCCAGAGAAAATAATACTTAAAGTTTTGGAGTCAACTAAATGTCATTTCCTTTTCTTTCATGCAAAAAATAGTTTACAAATTTAGGTGTGTATGGTTCATACTGTTTTGCAAGCTACTTTTGCATTTAGTATAAATTGTCAAAATATTCTATGTAATTAAATACTTTACAATACGTTTGGTAGATCTATTTTATTCCATATTATTTGTACCATCCCTAATATAATATCCTTTAAAGCCTTTTACTTTCCAGGTAGGAGACTGAGACCCAGAGAGAAGACACTTGTCTAAGGTCACACAGTTCATTTGTGTCACAGCTAGGAAGGGAACTTACATCTCACTCACCAAATTCAGAGCTTTCTCTCTTGTGTGTTCAACCTCCAATTTTTAATTTAGTTTTTAGTCTCCATTCACTTCCATGAAACCCATAATAAAGCATCCAGTTTGAATTTACCTTTTATCCTGTTGTCATGCTAATGACTGAATTTGTTTTTATTTTTTTAGTTTTTTGAGACAGAGCCTCAAGCTGTCTGCCTGGATAGAGTGCCGTAGCATCACAGCTCATAGCAACCTCCAACTCCTGGGCTCAAGTGACTCTCCTGCCTCAGCCTCCCAAGTAGCTGGGACCACAGGTGCCCATCACAACACTGGGCTATTTTTTGGTTGCAGCCGTCATTGTTGTTTGGTGGGCTGGGCTGGATTTGAACCTGCCACCTTAGGTGTATGTGGCTGGCGTCTTAGCCACTTGAGCCACAGGCACAGAGCCATGACTGCATTTGTTAAGTGCAAATGTTATGCTATACTCGTAATAACATT